CAAGCAATTTTCAAGAAGTGAACGTTAAACTAAGCCAAACATGTACGTGTGTCCTATGTACAAAGCCCATTTCTGTCATAAACTTTAATGCGTATTCTCTCCAAAATTGCACAAATGAGGCAAATGATAAAAACAAAAACTAGGCTCAGTCCATCACTCGTTTTGCCTGTAAGCCATCTGAATCCGAGTAATTTTTTTATGGAGAAAAATTAAGCAAAGACAGATGCCCTTGTCCTTCAACTTTTAAAAGTCTATAATCTAATAAACATAATTCAATATTAGTTTTGAGAAGTTGTCCCCAACACTTACAAAGCAGTAACCAACATATCAGAAAACTGACTCAACTCTCTACTAGTATGATGCTCACTTTGCAGTTTTGTTTTGTTTTTTTCCGGAAGTTCATCATTTTCACAAGCACTGCATAATTAATCAATCAATAATTAACATTAGTGAAACACAAATAAGACTGGATTTAAAAATGTCATTTTACATTTTTATAACTGAAGAGGTAGGAAAAGGACAAAATATGATTTTTGGTATTGTGAATATTTACGGGGAAAACTTGCCCTCAGTCTGGAGCGTCACTACCAATTAGTAAAGTCAAACTGATTCATATTGGAAGAATGTTTTGACCAAAAAAAATGGAGCATAGCCTCTCTGCGGGGAAGAAAGAATGAGGTAAAACAGTGTGATGACACTGACCTCGACCAATCCCACATCGGGTTCTTACAAACAGACCGACTGTGGTTCGCTCACATCTGCCACTGATCTCTGATTGATTCTGTGTCCTTTAACTGAGTGAGTCCTCTACAAACTTACAAATGAAGTCATTAATTGCAATGACAAATGGTGACACTGTCTTTATAAATCTTTGCCTGCATAATTAATACTCTTTAATTGTAATTAATTAGAACTATTTGCCGTTCAGTATTTTGGAAAAAACAGACCGGATTCAAAGTGTTGCGTGTGCCTTTCCTGCAAAATGATAAACGGTCACGGCTTCGTCTCACACACCGTGATACGCTGACACAAAATACGTGGTCGTGGGAGAACTAGACGCGATATCCCCGACTGCAGAGCTGTGAAAAGATGAGATCACCCAGCACACAATGAGCTATCCTCTGACATATTTTGTGCAAATAGGTCAACAGGTAGTTGACGTTTGCAAGCTGACACATTTTTGTAACTCCGGGCTCTGTTATGAATGTGCTTCACAAACGATGGTATGAAAATTAGAAAGACTGCGGAAAAAAAAAAAAAAAAAAAAAAAAGAAATTGGGGCTCCACTTACTCAGAAGGGCAGAACTTATTTCTAGGCAAATACATCACAGACACAAACTGCTTTGTGAGCAGCGAACATGCTAATGTGTTTGTGTGTAGTACGACTGTCAAACTGCTTTGTGGGAATGACTGAATTATCTCTGTTCGACATTCCGAAGTTATAAGCAAGTCTTAAAGGAGCAGGCATATCAAAGAGCATTCAATACCACAAGACACACACACACACACACACACACAAACAAGAGCGCATCAGCGAACATCTGTATATACAGTCCACATCTAAAGGCATGCATATTCACATGCAGAGACATAGTTGGACACACACAATCAAAACCACGTCTAAAAGCATCAAGGAGCTCAAAGCAATCCGCCCTACTGAAAAACATCACCAAGCAAAGCCACCGTACCACATAATGAAAAACATACAAGCACTAACTCCATCATAGGCGCACACATGCTTCCACTCAGGGGCGCAAAACAGGCACCGTGTTTACTCAAACTTTAAACACTAATAATTTATCATGACATTAATTCAGAAAAAGACCTACAAACTGTTAATTCAGACAGTTTTAAAGAAACAGAAGATAAATAATCGAATCATCACATGAATCGATCACCTAGCGGATTGTTTTACAAATTAAAAAGTCGCGCAACGCCTCACCGACAGGACAAATTAAATAGGGGTCAAACTGCATGAAAACTCATAATAAAACAGTTCATTGTGGAAATGATGTCTTTTTCTGCCCGATGACCATTTCTGGTCTTCCTTTAGGTCTGACCTGTCAAGTTATTTTTTTTTCCATTTATATTCATATATTCTAAAATCAATAGCAGTGAAGAGAAAACATTTACTGCCCATTCTTTGATGAAGGTAATGATTCTGAATTAATCGGAAAATGATCTTAGTTTTGATGCAGTGTAGGAACTGAAAAAGAATTCAGATTTTATGGTTTTTGATCTGCTAATCGATCTCTGGTCAATCGATTGGTTCGTCTAATTATTAATTTAAACTGCCAAGTCGGGGGGGAGAAAAACGATGAGAGTGTGAGAAAAGCAGGAATCCGCTGGTTTTGAGACATCAGCTCTCTTAGATGTCTGCATAAATATTAAAGGGAAATGAAGAAACAGAAAAAAAGAAAAAAAAAAAAGGATTTTCAACCATTTGACTTATTGATCACCAGTCAGAGGCCGTCAAGCAAAGATTGGCAATTTTGTTGCATCCTGGCTGAGTGGTGCATCAATAACAATTATGTTCAAAGAAAAACTGAAAACCAAAACTGTGAATGTAAAACGTGAGCCAATTTCTTTTAGTCTGAAACACCTGAAACATCTGGTCTGACTGTGGCCCGTTTTCATTTTGATAGAGCCAGTGGACCGTTTAACGGCTCTTTTAAGGCTGAGTCCTATTTTACCACTTGCCCCTCATGTTCAGCCCTTAGCTTTAGGCTTCGAAGCAGTGGGGCATCACAACCCCATCTGTGGGGGTTGAAGAAGGGCAAATAGGAACAGTTTCTACACTTGTAAACAAAGGGGTCGGAACTAAGCTTAAAAATACACTCATAAATGTAAATATTATATTAGTGTATTTTTTATGGCACAATATAGTGGTTACACAATAACCACTATGGCGTCCATCTCAAAACCCAGGTGGGTTGTGGCAGATGGCCTCTCATACCAAACCTGATTAATGAGGAGTTGTTTCCCTTTCTACTGGTGACACATGCATGTTTGTATAGTAAACAAGAGATTAACAAAGTGTCTATACACCATTTCTAAAATATGTAATTTCAAGTCCAACAAAATAAAGTTGTGTTGGTATAAAAATATATTAGATTTGGTATGAAAAGACAATATATACGTCTACAAACTCACCCATTTATAACTCGCATAAAATAAAGGTTTACCACGTATTTAGAAATACCAGAATAAATGCACATGAAATTTGCAGAAGAAGCAGAAGACGCTGCAATAATTACGTACTCCTCGTCACAAACCGCTGCAGCCTTGAGATCACACTTACATAATAACCTCTCCACTGTACGCATTTGCATTTCCTGTAGCATAACAGCTTGCAAATATGTCAGTGCATTCTTGAATGCACGTCACAAAACGAAAGCGGCAAAACGAACGTAAGCAGGGTTTAAAGTGTCACCAAATAACACAAAAGGTCACATGATCATTTTATGAGCTTATCATCACATAACTATGTTATAAAATATGACATAGTTCATCGAAAATGTTGCTAGCAATCTGTAGCATCAAGCAGATTTAGTCTACTGCACACTCATAACCTTTACTTACAGATTTAGCGTCGGCCAAGTAGCTGATAAAGACATCCCCTCTAATTTTCACTGTGAGGAACTGATGAGCTCTGCTAATGGGGCTTACTGAAGTGGAATGCACCAGCATGACGGAGGAGCAGGTAATGTTTGACTATGAGTCAGTTATTCTGACGTTTAACGTCAGAGACATTCTTCAACTGTTCGTGGACGTGATCTCTACTCATTCAAGCCGTACAGTAACAGATTTCCCTCATCATGGGCAAATATTATTACTGAAACCCAGAGCACAGGGAGCATTCAGAGGCAATGCACAGTCACTTCCCCCAACGGTATGAGTATGACGGGTTTGTCATCGTGCTTTGCTACTCAGCATAAAAAAAAATAAAAAATTTAAAAAAAAAACGTAGCTGATGTGAACAATCAGATAAGGTCGCTGAGCAGGAAGCAATGTTGGTCCACAAATCAATAAAGCTCTGAGAGGAAACCTAAGTTTCCTTCTTTTTTTTAACTATATAAATATATTTTTTTTGTAAAGCTTTAAAAAAAAAAACTTGTATTTGCCTAATCAAAAATAAAAATTCCAATGGAAAAATGCTTACACAACACAAACACAATCTATATCCCTGTTGCTAATAAATATGTTTATTTTAATTGAGTCTAAACTGATATTATTTTCACAAGAAGATAAGACATAGAAAACTAAAGTTTACAGAAATATAGCCCTTTAACGGTTTAAACTGAAATAATATTTAAGCTGGTTTTAAACATAACATGCATAAATGCATAGAATTTGACAAACTAGTAACTTTGTATTCTTTTTTTAAGTTCTGTATTATTTTGTAATCGGAAAACAAAACATCTGAAAGAGTCAGCAGAGTGTGAGATGTGCAAAGAGTTCTGAAATAATTTTGTTTATTGCAGTGGAATATTTTCACACTGAAAAAAGTTGGAACTCTGTAGACATATTTCTGTTCCCTTACATTTTCTTTCTCAATATATCTAATGAACTGTACATGTAATATAAGGTTCGATGGAGTAGCTACTTCCAGATTCAGAGACGTTAACATAAATCTGACCAAAATAAATGATATGTTCTCCAGTCTTTCCCAATTTGAAGACCGTCAAAAATAACTAAGACTCCATGCCCCAAAAATCAGGATTAGTGTGTTAACATCGGAAAAATTATTTCTTAATGCTGAATATGCTTTTTCAATAAATAAACATACTTAAATTGATGACAGTATTTTTCTATATTTTTCAGTTTTGCGGCTACAATAAACATTGTTTTGTTTTAGAAATTTTTATCCTTTTATCTTTACCAGGGGTGTCAATAAATATGTGGGTGCTTCTGTATCTTCTGGTAAAATAACTCCTTTCGGTTTTAGCTGTGGACGGCTTTTGAGTCATTTTAACGGAGCTGAATTAAACAAACCTTACCTGTGCTGGTCATCAGGTTATCAAAACATCATGGCTTCGGCATCAGTTTTGTTCAACCAGCTTGATTACACGAGTCCGTCCGGTAGCACAGCTCTTCTGCACGGTTCCCCTGTTACTCCAAAACAAAGTAATGGAAAGCAGAAACCAGACGTCGGACCCAAACTGGTATCACTCCATCTCTTCTGGTCCCTGCGAGTCCTCAGAGGTCCACAACTGTCAGAGTGAAAATGGTTCAGCTTCTTTGCCGTGGGTTTAAAAAGGTCCTTCACTGGGACAAGCATCGGCTACGTTTGGTCCAGAGCTGCAGCACCTCTTCTGCTCAACTGCGCGCCATCGCAGTTTTGTTCCTGATCAGCTCGAGTCTGGGTGACAAATGCTGTCCTGCTTTTTGGTCTTCAGTCACAGTTGTTGCCTTAACCTGGAAAAGTACAAGACAAAACTTTTTAGAGAAAATTTGACAATTGTAAACTAAGGCTAAGGCCTTTAATTTATTTCATTGACATTTAATATACATAAAACATCTAAGACCTAGAAATGTACTAGCTTCAGTTTAGATAGAATCTTTATTATTTAAATGATAAAATGTGAATTTACTTGAGTGTAGCTGCATAAATGGACTGGGAATGTTCCAGCAAATACACTAATTACATGCACAATCAGGTAAAGCACTTTGGGAAAAAAAAAACCACAACATTCAGTATAGAGAGTGGTGCAGGAAAATTGATGGGGGACGAAACAAACAGCCTGCAGCAGCATTCAGTCGCAACAGGATCCAGCGTCTCACTTTCTCTACGAGTATTACCAACTCCATTTCAATATTGATTGTTCCATGAGTCTGAACAAGGAGGTCGTTAATGAGTAATTTCCTGGGATTTCCATATCAAATTTCCAGTGGCCGTGACCGCTGACAATTACATTTCCTTTATTCTGTAATTCTAGCATTAAAAACACAGACTCTTCGATTCTCGGCTCCCCTCTTTTGTTGCCCCAACCGCAAAAAAAAAAAAAAAAATCATCCCACCCTCTCTGTTTGCGCCACTCCCCTCTCTCTCCTCCTCTCAGTCCCACCTCACTCTTCGGCGCCTGCTGGTTTCTGTCCATCCAACTTTAATTGTCAGCCATTTTTTTATTGTTTGTGGACTGTTGGAGATAGCGTGTGTACAGGTGTGCATCGTTCAGTTACCACCACAAATCAAACCATAAAAATATGGAGACTGAGTGTGTGTGTGCGTGTACCAATCTTGCCAAAAATGTTTCTGTGGGATTTACATCAGGACTTTGACTAGGACACTCCCAATGAATATACCTGAATATACTTTGAATGAAGCCAATGCATTGTAGCTCTTGCAGTATGGTTAAGATCCAAAAGTTAAAAGAACAGGTCTCAGAGCTGCAGACTCGATGATTTCCTTCTAGTATCAGCATCCTGCTGAAGGTAAGCATGGCGCTGCCACCACCGTCTTTCACAGTAGAAGTAGTGCATTAGGGTGATCTGCATTGTTTTTGCTATGGCATTTTAACATCACCGACATCATCCTTTCTCACAATTTCAGCTTTTTACTTGCAAACTCTTCCTTCAAGGCCAGATTTTTTATTATTTTTTAAAACCCTGTTTTGAACTTATCCACAACTTTCCCCTTGACCAGTCTGTTGTTTTCCCTGCTCTTGGTGATGCTATTTGTTCACTAATGTTCCCCAACAATTCACAGAACATCTGCACTTGATTTTATTTAAGTGTGTCCAAGTAAAGGGACTACATATTCTTTTCCATCCACTTCACAATTATGTGCTACTTTGGTTTGGTCTAGAAAATAAAAGTCCAATACATTTAAAGTTATGGTTGTAAAGTGTTTTACTTTTTGAATTGCAGCGTACTGGATATCACCGGTGGGTTATACAAATTTTTAAACATACGCACATGCAGAATTAAAGAGCCCTGTCTATTGTTTGAAGCTTACTATACATGAATTATGCAACACTAGCTCTGAAAGAGATGAGAATGAATAGCGTTCTCATCCTGCAATCCCCACTCCGAGGGTTGCCTGTGCTCCTTGCCACTTCCCCCATGTAGCTCTAACTTTGTTTGCACAAATAGAAAATGAACACACCGACTGTTTTCATGTGAAAAAGGGAAATCTGCACATTATGACTCATAACTGAAATTATGAGTCATTTTTATACCCTCCCATCTTAAAACAGTCATATTTTTAAGAGGAGTAAAAAAAAAAACAAAAAAAAAAAAACATGGTTTTGGAATACGTAAAAATTTCTGTAAATGTCCCGCGTCCTCGGATAACCTTTCAGCAATTTAAACAAATCAAACATCAGCTTATAAATACAAAACTATAACCACAAAGGATTACATTCTGACGGTTTCTCCAGGCTGCAATATCCCGACTCTGAAGCTACACACGCGCACATCCACACACGTACATGCTTCCTGTTGTTTCAAGTCTGACCACATAATAGTATTAGCTATTAGAGCTGCGAGAAAATAAGAATGTTTTTATTTTTTTTTATTATTATTTTTTATTTTTTTGGCTGTGAGGGAAAGCAGAGAGAGCGAGAGAGAAGAAAACAGGCCAGCTACTTACTGATTAGTAGAACAACAGGAAAAGAGAGGAGAGAGAAAGGTTTTCTTTATTGGAAGGAGGGAGCGTAACTAAATATTTTTCCTTGCGGAGTTCTGACTCAATCGAGCTCCTGCTTAGTCATTTGATTTAATCACTGTCATTCGCTGCCTCACTGTGCTTTATTCCACATTGTGTGTTTTCTTTATTTTCTCCACAAAGACTTATCTCGCTGTTTTGTTTTGTTTTTTTCTTTTCATCCCCAGCTACTTTAAGCTCCCTCCCAGTGTAACTCCTACTTCCCTGTCTCAGTTTTCCACTCGAGCCGTCTGTCCTATCAATCCATCAGCGGAGCTCCCTGTCATTTTCAAATGCTTCTTCTGTCTGCTTTCCCAACTGTCACTGCGGCTAAGACCCCCCTCACCCCCAACCCAACCACCACCCACCATCACCACCTCCGACCCCCCCGCCCCCACCTTGAAGGACGTGTGTGGTCCGGTCTGACTATAGAACATTACATTGTTCCAGACAGGTTGGACTGCGCCACTAGCCAGCAGACGGAGGCAGGCGGGGGTAGGTGGAGAGCAGGGGTTCCTAGGGAATGTTTGTTTTTCTGTTTCCAATTTGGTCCAGCCCAAGGAACTCCACACTCCGCTCTGTCTCAAACACACCATTCATGACGGCCTGACGTAGATGATTACACACAAACACCCACTCAGCAAGTCTCGGCTAGCTCACAGCACACACACGCGCGCGCACAGATGTGTATATAAGCACATACCCACACATCCTGAGCTACCTCGCTGCCCATGAAATACACATATGTACATATATGAGAACTGAGAACGATACACACATGGCTTAGATTCGTTCTCAGTCGCTTTAACCATGAAACGTAATACGTTTAATTTATCTTTGTTCTCATCTTTTATTGTTTTCTGATTTGTTATTGCTAATGCCATTTCAAATGACATGGTGGTCAAACTAATTATGCTTGTTTTTTTCCCTCGTCTTTCCGATCCCCCCTCCGCTCTGTACTTGGGAAAATGATCGTTTCTGAAAGGGCTTTTTGATGTGTCTTGCTGAGTTTTTAGATGTTATGTAGACAAAGTTTAAGCTCCATGTTCCACCAATTAAAGCACAGAGGGCACATTGTTTCATACTCAACTATTCCATCTGAAACGGATTACTTTAGTAATTTCCTTGTTTGGATTTGCTTTTATTTTTTTCTTTTCTTTCTATTTATCGAGTTTATTTGTGAGGAAGGAGCTCAGATCAGCTCTGGCAGCTGGGAAAAAAGTAGCAGACGTACCATACATGTGTTCATAGCTCAAATGTATTTAAAAAGCAACTTCCTTAATGAGATCCGAGGGATCAAGAAGTTTTGCTAAAGATTAAAAACATTCCATATACACATGGATTTGCCAGCAAACAGGTGTAACACTAGCACCTGTTTTTCAACTAGTGTTCTTCATTTCATCAGTTACAATAATTTGCCTGGAGGAGAAACTATTTCAGACAGAGATGCACAGAGAAATCAACTGTTAAACGAAACAATTCAAAGTTGTAGCAAACTGACCAGTAACGAGGCAACCCGAAACCCAAAATTCCTATTTTTTTTTTTTTCTGGTTAATGAATACGCCATACCAAAGTAATGACAGATCATACTACCATACTTTTCACTAAGGTTGTTTCTAAACAAAAAGAAAAAGAAAAGGGAAAAGGAAAAAGACATAAGGGCCTACGGTCACACAAACACACTGGCTGTTTGCAATTACTAATGCTAAAATACTCACTTTTAATATGAGACTGTGTCAGCAATTTTGTTTAAATTTAATATCGAAACCTTGTTTTACAGTAGTTCTTCCCCCACACACAGTAAAATGTTGCCTCCGCCTTTAATATGATGAATGAATGAATTAAGGGGCGATCATGTCGGGAAAGCTCAGATCAAAATATTTTTGAAGGGTTTTATTTACTGTTCTTCAAGAGAAATTCAGAAAGCTTTGCAAACTCAGGAAAAAAGATCAAATGCTAAGTGAGTAGGTTAAAATGATTTTTTTTTTTTTTAAACATAATGGTTAGATCATAATATATCTCAGACTTTGTCTGGTAGATCATTAAAAATACTTGAAACAATTTACCAGACAAATTTTAGAGCTATCCGAGTTTTCTGTGGCTGTACGAGTCACAGAGTAAAACGATACTTTTCTTTTTGTTGTTGCTGAGCACTGCAGGCGAGCTGGCTGATAGGTGGCTACTATGCACCCCAAGCTTGTAAGAAAAACACATTTGGATGTTTTGAAAATAATTTAGGTAGCCAACAGCCATTTGACTAGTGGAGCAGGTAGCCCAGCTAATTAACCAGCAAATATCAGATTGTTATAATCCACATGTCAAAAATGAAAATCTGCACTATAAACATATTTACTTAAAAAGTACTACTAAATTAAGTGGACATCTAATATTTTTGTACAAGTCAGAACAGCAGCAATAATCATGATGGTTAATTTTGTATTGTTGTTTTAAATAAAAGTGATCACCACATACCTTTAAGTACTAAATACTGTGAAACTGCTCAAACTCAACAAAAGGATCTCATATCATGACAATCTAAAAATGGCCTACGCCTATTTCGCAGGAGCTAAAAGCACCTTATAAATGCAATGAAAAACTTCAATAAATTTCCTAAATTGCATGTCAAATGCTAACAAAAATATAAATCTTAAAGGCATGCACAAGCCTTAGTACAAGTCTTAAAAAGGAAAGCCATATGAAAATCGGTCCCAATGTCTGCTCATCAAAAAGTGCATTCATATTTATCAAACTAACCAAACTTCTGATCTG